ACAAGAGAGGCACCCAGAGCAGTCCTGGACTCTTCACGTGAGCTGGGACAGGAAAACTTGTGTCCAGAGGCCATGCCAACATTTCCACAGCTCCACTCAATCACCAACACGTTTCACACACTCTGTTGAAAGTATTGAGGGGGAAAAAAAGATGACAGTTTTTGAAAAAACACAAAGCACAATGAAAAGGTCATCTATGTTTTAAGGGAGATCATGGCTGCCCCCATATCAGTGTCCTAATAGCTCTGTTCTCCTGTCAAAGCCTTGCTGTGTTACCCTTGTAACACTTTGAATATGCTGCTTCCTTAGTGGACTAGAGAATAACAGACTAAAAGATGAAACACAGGGAAAACATGTCTTGAGATTCCACTGTGTCCCAAACACTGTTTGTATCGTAAGCTCTGATATAAAACAAGAAACCAAAACTCTGGAGGCAACTTCCCTGCTTTGCTACATTTTGGTAGCAGTCACTCGGAGAGGGAAAGGCTATTCTCTACTTAGTGTGTTTCCAATGACATAGGATTAAAAATGGACAAAGGGTCGGCTTCAGCGGAGCAATTATAAAGAGCATTTTGTAAGGTTACAGTGAAGGCAGCATTTCTTATGGATGTAACTTGCCTTGTCCTTTTGAAATAATTTATTTTCACAGTACCACTCTTTTAAAAAAAATTTAAAATAGAAAGGGCAATCTTAAAAATTATTTTTGTTCTGGTCTACATGGGAAACAACAGATGGATAAGTGAGGATTCCAAGATGAGACAGTTATGCTTGAAGGACAAGAAGCAAAAATTGTAGCTATCATCTGGGATTGTCTTTTCAGTGTATGGAAACCAAATCATGTAATCCCTGAGAAGCTTATGCCACCATTACCACCCTCAGAGTGTACCACCCAAATCCCTTTATCATAGAGCAATTTTTTTTAAAGTCCTTAAATATACAGCATGGATCATTTGGTAATTTGTCTTTCTTAAGGAGAATGACTCATACCAGACTTAACATCCAAGACCCAGCGTAACCTGACCTCCTCTGCCAGCACACATACCCTCCTCCATTGGTTTTTGGTTTCTCTGGTGCGTGCTGAGCCCTGTGTTTCCCGGCAGTGAGGCCCTGGGAGGCTCTAGGCTGCCCCTGGAGAGGCCACAATCCCTGCTTAAGACCGCTAATTGATGTGGTGCTTGCTGGAAGTTGGTATCAAGCGAGATCAGTCTCAGGATTAATAGCATGTGCCTCTCTGTCAATGTTTATGCGATGCCCTGTTCCTAGAGAGCTCTGGACCTCCCACCGGATAGAATCTGATCTGCAGCTGGAGCTGCTCAGTATCTCAGAGTGCAGTAGGAAGTGTGGGATTCTGGACACAACTCATTCTGAAGACCTGAGAGGAAGCCCAGGCTCAGGGCCCAGCTATGCCACCTTCTTGAAAAGGCTGGGAGCAGCCAGGGAGGCCTGATGCTGTCTCTGAGAACAGAATTGTTTGAGCTTGTGTAGATCAGAAGCTATATGGCCCTAGCTGCAAAGCAATGAAAGAATGATAAATTATCTGATGGCATGCATGACTGGAAATACTTTTACACCCATGTTTCCATTCTGATCAATTTCTTCTGTTCCTGTGCTTTTATGGCCAAGCATAAAGACAGTGGTCAGTTGGGCTCAGGGGTGGAGAAGTCTTCCTAGGTGAAACAGATACTTTTCTGGCATACTTTGGACATGAGATGCTGGAATTCTGAGTGCGATGAAAACAAAACAAAAGGGGGGGATGGGAAATTTCTAGAGGGTAGACTTCTATAAAAACAGAAAATGTACTTTGTTCAATCCTGTCATGATTTGTATCCTAACAAATGTATTCGGTTTTGTCTGTTTGTTTGTTTGTTTGTTTGTATGTTTGTTTCAATTTAAAAATGTCATAGAGAACAGAACTGGCTTCTTGCTGCTTGTTTCTGAAGAAGAGTTACCCAGTGCTTAAAATAACAGAAGACTGCAAGTCTGTGTGATATGATAAAATGAGGAGTGTATTGTAGTCCAGTTTAGAAAGAGACAACATGCCTTGTCCACAGAATCCAGCAAACAATAAAATTCTATTCTTATGTGGATAGCTGTGGAATTCAGAGGAATTCCTGCTCTGTGTGTACTTCAGGGAATATAGATTCCTTAAAGTGCATGAAGTATCAAACCAGTGTTTAGAACTCACTTTAGGTTTTTACTGTACACATTTGTGTCAATGCTTTGAATTTTGATGAGGAGTTGGGCAGGCAGGGGGCTAGAAAGATGGCTCAGAGGTTAAGAGCACTTGTTGCTCTTGCAGAGGACCTAAGGTCAGGTTCCCAGAATCCTCACAGTGGCTCGCTGCTCTCTGCTCTAGTTTTAGGAGCTCTGAGACCCTTTCCTGACCTTCATGGGAACAAGACACTCATAAATTGCACAGACATATATGCACAGGCAAAACACTCATACGCATAATAAAAAAAACTTGGAGAAGTAAATGTAGGAGGAAAATGGGAATACATTAGGAAAAACTTGAAAATATTTCATCAAGAAAATTCTTGGAAGCTTTATCCACATTGCTTTTGTCAAATTGCTCAGTCTCACTAACAGCATCCAAACAGTCTAGTTTGACTACTTGCCCTCATTTTGTATTGTTGCCAGCTTTCATTTCAGCCAGCCTAATTACCCCATCCTAATGTCTTATCAGTTAACCTGCAACTACTTGGTACCTGGTGGCATGGCGCATCATCTCTTGTGCTCATTTCTCTCTCTGCCCTCCTTCTGTTAAATGTTTGTTCATATCCTTTGCCCATTTCCAGTTGATTTTTTCTTGCTGTTGAGTTTTGCTATCCCATGTAGTAGTTCTTTCTCAGACAGAGACAAAATATTATACTTCAGAACTTGCATTTATGTCTGCTTCACGTGGGCAAAAGTTGATGATGATGATGAGCAACTTATGCATTTTCTTTTAACAAACAATTTTGATGTCAAGACTAAGAATATTTGCTAGTCTCTGGATCCCAAAGATTTTCTTTTTCTTTGCCTACGCCTTTTTCCCCACCAGTTTCTAAGATGTATCAAAGGACTGGTTTTTAAGAGTCAAGGTATGAGGAAAGAGAGAGTGGATGGTAAGGTCTGTGAAGGACAGCCCCTGCTAGGGCCATATCTGACTGATAGCCCTGAGCCTCAGTTGTATTTATAAGATGGTTTTATCTAATAAAATTAAATTATGTAAAATCTGTGAGCTGTCTAGCACATCAAGGGTTCCACAGAGGATCTCACGGTTCTTCAAGCTATGTTACCAAACAAGAGGTTGGATACCAAGCTCAGAGGCAAGAGCACAAGTTTATCTACAAACCAGATAATTAGCCCTTAGAAGATTCTGTCTCACCCATACAGATGACCTTTCTCTGTTTACTCAAAACAGCTAGTCACTAATTTCACAGCAGCTGTGACAGAGCTTGAAGAACCGTGAGATCCTCTATGGAACTATTTTAATAAGAAGAGGCAAATGAAAATTTTACTGGGATTCAGTTAAGATTTCTAAAAATTTAGAAGACTTTAGAATGGAAGTCAAAGTTGATGACAACTGGGTTGTTTTTTTTTTTTAAGATTTTTTTATTTATTGTATGAGTGTTCTTTCTGTATATACACCTGCACACCAGAAGAGAGCACCAGATCTCATAGATGGTTGTGAGCCACCATGTGATTGCTGGGAATTGAACTCAGGACCTCTGGAAGAGCAGACAGTGCTCTTAACCACTGAGCCATCTCTCCAGCCCTGAGAATTGGGTTTTTTTTTTTTATCTGAGTTTTAGGTTATTAAACTAGTATTAATTTATAGAGATATATGAAATACCTCCCACAAAAGTAAATTTTGTTATAAACCATATAAGGATATTCACTCTACCTGTTCTATGTAAAATTATATATATATGTATATTTTTTTTTTCTATAGTGAGTTTATCTAAATTCAATTCTTAAAACCCAGCTTAGTCTACAGAGTGAGTTTCAGGACAACCAGAGTAAACAAAGCAAAAACAAAAATTCAGCAACTGTCACCTGCACTTTTATTCATTTATCATTTTACTCTTTTCTTTTTTCACTACTTGTATATAAAACTATAAAATTACTCCCTAATCCCCCTTTGGAAATCAACAATAGTACCTTTAGAACTTTGTCCAGGATGAATTTAATCATGTTAGATTTGCTGCAGATATGTTATTCTTGTGTGTGGTTGGTTCTAGATACGAATCAATAGCATTTCTGAGTTGGTCACAGACAGAAAACATGACAGATGAATGTTCAGCGTGAAAATCCAGGTGGGAGGGGCCATCTCCCACTTGCTGCCGGAGATGATAAGAGTGTGCTCACAGACACGGCAGGTCACTTTTAGCAATATCTGGTAAGACCATCAGCAACCTCCTCAAGAGCCTCAGATGTCCCCAGGGTGGGCCTCAGAGCCAGGACTTTCCAGACCTCTCAGCTCCAGAGTTGGATCTATTCCTCACTGACTGTATGGTTCAGCCCTAGTGTTTTGGAGGGCATGGTGGACTCAAAGAAAGCAAATAAGTTTCTGTTGGTTGTGTGTATCTTTTCAGGTTTGACTAGGTGTTGCTCATAACGCTTACACTGTTCAAATTAGCCAGAGAAATTTTCAGCTAAACTAAGCCCACACTGATACTAGATTTTAAAAAATTTAATACATTTTTTTAAAACTGCAAATTAGCCCGAGTTTGAGTAAGTCTGAACTCTAACTGATCTTGTCACGTGAGGTCCCAGTGGACACCCTGATTCTGGGTTACTTGACAGCACAGGACTTTATCACAGAGCACCATGTTAGGTAGATTTCAAGATAAAAATAATTCTTTTGTAGATCTGCTGTTATACTAAAATTTCAATTTTTCAAAGTAAAATCAGTTGGTTTTGGATATGTGAGGAGTATTTTTTTAATTCTTTTTCCACTGCTCTGCAATGTTTTTATGACATTTTTTTCCTTCTTTTTTTTTTTCCTCTTCCAGAGTCCCATTTCCCAGAGGAACCATTCATCTCAACAGCCAGGGAGAGAGCCTGGATGTTCAAAGTAAGGTGTTACTATGATCTGTCCTGTAGATTGCTTTTTTGTGAATTAAATTGAAGCAATTGGTGCTACTGCCTAAATGACCAACTTGTTTTAGAAATGCCACCACATGGCTAAAGCCAGTGTTTGCATAAATGTGCTTCTCAGAGGCACCGGTCTTCAAAAGACACCCTTCTTCCCAAGTGAATGGCTGCTAACAGACTCCTCTGAAATGTGCTCAAGCCAATTAATGTTCAGTTGGGGAGATCTTATTAGTGGTCACTGAAGAAAGAAATATCAAGACACGGTCAAAATAATCCTGTGGTGTTTCTAGTTATTTTTAAACCAAGTTTTATTTATTCTTGTTACGAATATAAGGTGAAACTTGGGGAGGAAGGAGGAAAGCAGGGGAAGGAAAGGTGGTACATGTTGGGTAGAGAGGAAGGGAGGGAAGGGAGAAAGGAGGAAGAGGGCAAAAGAGAAAGGGAGAGGGAGATGGGAATGATCGTGGAATGAATGCACATACCATGACAATGGCAAAGCCTGGGCAAGCCCCTTTTTGTTTTCAGTTTCTGGTTTGTTTGAGACAGGATCATTTTGACCTTCAGCTGTTTCCCACTGGTACCCTAAATCTCTGCCTGAGCATGCCTTCAGAGTTCACCTCCAGGGGCTCCCTAAAGCAAAGGAACAATTAACTAAAATTCCACCAGATGGCAATATTTGGAAAGCCATTCGGAGAGATTTCAAAGCTATGTGCTGTAATTGTTCATGTGGGGAGTGGTCTCAGAGAGCATCAGGTCCTGGATTTCATCAGAAGTGGTCTCTTTTCCTCCATGATATTCAAAAAAATGTATAGAAAGATGTGAGATGGTTGTATGTATTGTTTTCTTCTTTTGTCTTAACTTCTGGAATGCTAAAATTAGAAACCTCGTCTTAAAATGGTTCTCTAAAAGGTATTGGCATGTGCTAAAGGCTCAAATCTGGGGGTAATTCTTCAGACCCTGACACACATTCAGATCTTAAATCTGTGGTACGCTCACTTTCACCACTCACTGTGAGAAATGCTAAGGGTGATTGATATTGTTAAGAGAAAAGAATCTTGAATCTCCTCTCCTGTAGTTAGTTGCTTTGAAAGCGAGAGAACTTTACATGTACAGAATTGTCATTCATGTTGGCTCGGGATGGTTGTTGTTATCAGGGGTAAGGAGCAAAGCCTTCTTTTTCACTCTAGTCATGTAGACCTCTGGACCCTGAGTGTTATCTTGGGACCCAGCGCAAGCTTTAGAGCAGGAGAGGGTCAAAGGGTAGAACAGCAGCTAAGATCAATTAAACGAGGAAGGACCAAGAAGAGAAGCCTCCTGAACTTCCCCTGGACCAGTAGGAAGCCATCCCTGGAAAGGTAGGGAGTCCTGTGGAAATGAATCTTGTGTTATGGGCACCTCTGGTGGAAGCGTGTTGGCCTGGTCTGTCTGGGGTAATCCTGAATACCTACCAGTATGGACCAGCTAGCACCCCTATTTGCCTTCAAAAAAACAAATGTCTCTCTATTGATGGCAAATCATGTCACCACCCTATATTCCTAACCCGAATGGTTGAAGACATAAGAGAAAAAGGTGAGCCATTAGCTAAATAGATTGTATCTCTTTATATATCTTCTATCTGGAGCTATAGAACAAATATATATATATATTTTAATTTACTTACTTCATTTTCATCCAAGTGGAATGTGGAGATAGCTCGTTCAGGAAAGTCCCTGCCTTGCAAGCAGGAGCCCTAGTACCCAAGCTAAAAATCCAGACATGGACTGCAGTGACGACTCAACACTTGAGGGCACTTGCTCTTGCGGGAAACCAGGTTTGTTCCCAGCATCCACATGGTGGCTCACAGCACCCCTAACTCTAGTTCCAAGGGATCCAGTGTCTCCTTTGACCACAGATGCCACACACACGTGGTACACAAGCATACATGCAGGCAAAATACTCATTCACAAAATAAAATAAATGTTTTCTAAATTAAAAGAAAAATTCATCAATCTTTGAAAAACAAAAGTCAAGTGTAGCGGGGCCACACTTGTCATCACAGTGCTGAGGTGGCAGGACAGATGGGTCCCAAGGACTCATTAACCAGTCATCCTTGTCTACCTGGCAAGCTCTGGGCCAGTGAGAGACCCTGTCTCAAAGGTGGACAGAAGATGATAGCTTTGGAGGATCAATACCCTAGGCTGACCTATGACCCCTACATGCAGGCATACCTGCACACACATGCACACTCTCCTACTGCCCGACATCATCCCCCGCCCCTCCTGGTGCTATTTCTTGTTCCCTTAGTTACATTTCTTCTTTCATGCCATACATACAGTAAATGATGTAATGTGTCTGTGTAAAATCTAGGAAGCACCAATCATAGAAAAACATGGCACTTGTGTTTGTAAAGTGGACTTAACTTGCTTAATACGATTATTCCCTCCTGCCTCCCCGAATCCATTTCCTGCAAACTGCAAGGTTTGTCTTTCTTTATGGCTGAAGGAACTCAAGCATGAACACAAAGTGCATCTCCTTTATCAGTTCTGCTGCTGGTGAACAACTGGTTTGGTTCCTTAGTCTAGCCACTGTGGATACTGTTACAGTAAGCGCCAGAGTGCAAGTATCCCTGTGATCTGTGGGCTTGAATCCTCAAGAAGCCTCCAGCTGGCTTCTCTAGTAGCTGCCCTACTGGACCATCCACCAGCAGCGGCTAAGGGTTCCACAGTCTCACCAGCATAAGCTGTGCTGTTAGTGACCGGCATTCTCATCGGGGTGAGACGGAATGTGGATGTTCTTACATTTGCATTTCTCTCCTGGCTAGGAAGTTGAAGATGTTTTCGTATGTTTATTGGCTGTCTGTATTGCATCCTTTGGCAACGGCCTGTGTTATTAGCTCATTATTGGTTGTGTTATTTGTTTGGTTTTTCAGTTCTTTGTGTGTTGTAGATATTAATCTTCTGTCAGATCTATAACTGGCAGGGCTCTGGGAAGATGGCTCAGTGGGCAAAATACTTGCCGCACACTATGAGGACCTGGGTTCAAATCCCCAGTGTCCACATCAAAAGCTGACACAATGATACACACCTGACATCCTGGCGCTAGTAGGCAGAGACAGGAGCATCCCCAAAGCTCCATGGCAACCAGGCTAGCCAGTCAGTTAGGAGCTCCAGGTTCACTGAGAGACTGTCTCAAACACTAAGGTGGAGAGCAAGAGAGGAAGACACTTCCTATTGTTAACCTGTGGCCTCCAGCCACACACATACAGGAACACATCTACCATATACATACATAGCTACACATTACACACACACACACAAATGAAAATGAAAAGTCCATGGAACTGGTAAAGGCTTTCTCCCACTCTGTAAGTTGTCTCTTCATTCCATTAAAGGTTCCTGTGTTGAGGAGAAGCTTTCTAATTTCATAATGTCCCATTTGTCAGCTTTCAGCCTTATTTCCTAAACAACCAGAATCCCAGTCAGAAAGTCCTTGTTTATCCCTACAACTTGATGTCCTTGGTTGAATCTTCTCCCTCAGCTTTATCAGTTTCCCAGGGACAGAATTCTAGTATTGGTATCCTCAAGTCTCATACCATTTCTATAATTTTGAATCTAGTTTATCACATTTTTACCATAAAGAATAGTTTTCAAGCATACGGAATTTGAGGCTATTATTTCCACATTTTAAAAATGTAAAATTAAAAAGGAAATTTTATTAAAAAGAATAAATAATGTATTAGTAATATGTCTTGATATACATAAAATTTACATATGAGTGAACAATGTCCTTATTGCTCATTTAACCTGTGCCTAAAGTGAATGACATATTTAGAGTTTCAATCATTAGCAAAAATTTACTTCTATCTTAAATTTTGACTTTATTAGAGCTAAAGATATATAAATGAATGATTATAATAAAATGTAGGAAATGAGACTCATTAAAGGGGAAACCTAGTTAAAGTATTATGAATATTTTAGGGGCCATATGGGTAAACAGAAGTGAAACTTGAAAACTGGTTGATTTTGGATATGCAGGGATGATGATGCTTCCTGTTCATTCCATAAACCTCTGCTAATACCAGCTGTTTTCCAAGTTCTGTAGTAACAGCCGGGGATTAAGGTGAACAGCAGAACTTTAGCACATGCTGTCTAACAGAGCTGAGACTCTTAAACAAACAAACAAAATCCTGGGGCTGGGGACATAGCAAGTACCGCTTTTGCCTTGCATGCATGAGGACCTGAGCTTAATCTTACCCAGAGCCCACACAGAAAGATGGGCATGGTAGTGCACACTTAAAACCTCTGCTGGAGAGCTGAAGAAGGTGGATTCTTAGGGCTTACTGGTCAGTCAGCCTACCCAATAGGTGTGTTGTTCCAGGTCAGTAAGAAAGCCCATTTCCAGCCAGGTGTGGTTGCATTGCCTTTAATCTCAGCACTTGGGGAGGCAGAGGCTTGCAGATCACTGTGAGTTCGAGGCCAGCCTGGTCTACAAAGAGGCCAGGACAGCCAAGGCTACACAGAGAAACCCTGCTTTGAAACAAACAACAAACAAAAAAGAAAGAAACTCCATTTCCAAAAAAAAATAAGATGGTGGATAATATCCAAGGAATGACATCCAAGGTTGTTCTCTACCCCCCCCCCAACATACACACACACCAGAGAGAGAGAAAGAGAGAGGGAGGGGGACGGAGAGAGAGGAGGAGGGAGAAGGGAGGGAAGAGAGAAAACATGAACCTATAAGCATAAGAAGTAGGCCAGCTTGTATTGCAGAAAGTGGGTGGGACTAAGTAAGGGGACATTCTTTCAGATAAGGGCTTTCTGTCACTCCTTTGGAGTCACTGACATGAGCAGTGAAATGCTTATTAAGAATAGAAGACATAAGATCAGCAAGATCTATGATCATGGCCCTAATGGGCTGATGACTGCCTAAGAACTGCAGTGTTTCCTGTATTTTGTGTTTTATACAGCAGAAAGAATTCTCAATGGCAGTCTAACTTGCTCA